ACTCTGGCAAGGACAGGCTGGTCCCCTCAGAGACACCCCACTGGCAGGCAGTTGATTCAAAACCAAGGAGGTGGAAGGAAGCAGGAAAAGTGGAGACCGAGATTTATGCTAGGATAAATAATTTTCTTCTTAAATGGTTGGAAGAAGAAATATTTACAAGGAGTAGATGGGAGGGGTGGTGAATGGAGATATTAAATTATAAAAAATTATTGGGAGGTCCTTATTAATTACCACAAGGGAGTTGACTAGTACCTATGAAATTAATTATTAATGGAAATTCTATTATGATAATGTCATATTTCTTTATTATTCCCACCAGCTTGTCATAGATACATAGTGCAGTAGAGCTGCAAGGAACCTAGAGATCAATCAAACTCAAACCCTTGTTTTATACAAGATGACTAGGGTCCAGGGAAGTTAGGTAATGGTAATAACAACACTAAATTGAATACTTCCCATGTGTGAAGCCCTTTGTAATGTTACTTTCTAATCCTTTCATTAACCCTCCTAGGAAAGTAATATCGTCCCATTTCACAGATGAGAAAACCGAGATTGAGAGGTTAAGTGACTTGTACAAAGTCTCACGACCAGCAAATGCCACCTGAGAGACTTGAACCTGGTCAGCCTGACTCTAAGGTCCACATTGCCTCTGAAAAGGGAAAGAAAATCAAAGAGGCCCTAAGACTGAAAGATGATGACAAGCCAGAACCCTGTTTCTTAACTCCTCCAGCAGGGCTTTTCCCACTTTACCTCGTCTTGTAAGAGGCCCAGGGTCTTTCCTTTTAGCTTCCGGCTTATTGGCCGGCCATTTCTTGCATGTGCTATTCCTAGAATTAATTATTACATTGGAGCCCTCAGCCCGCAGTAGTCAGGATTCCCAGACTCTTCAGCCTCTGCCACCATTTGGCCAGAATTCACATATAGAAAGTTATTTCCTTTTTTAGCCAGTCAGTGCTCTTGGCTGTGGCAGTGTCTGCCGCCCAGTTCTCAGCTGGCCGAACAGGAGGCTCTGGTGTTCCACTGATGTCAAATCCAAACAAGAACCACAGAAACAGCAATAAGTAGCTGGTAGGACTCGCCGTCTCCAAGGAATAATGGGGCTGGGACCCTGCTTGCACGGCTCTCTAGTTGTGTGACCCTAGGCAAGTCACTTATCCTCTCAGCTTCCAACTCATCTGGAAAATGGGACTGTTTACTCATGGGGATTAAAGAATATGTGGAAGCACCTAGAAAAGTACCTGGTGCATGGGAGGCACTCAACAATATTAGTTCTTTGTTTTCTCTTCTGACATTTCCAGTAAAAAGTCTTCTCAAATGTGATCAACTAGCCAACTTGATGCAGAATGTGATAGTGTAACAGGCTGGTTAATGACACAGCAAGGAACCCCCTGTGGCGCTGGGTGCAGGAGAGTGACAATCAGAGATGGAGGAAACACGGGCCACGGGAAGGATGTTGCTCTATCTGTAAGATAGTTATTTCACTAGGCATCAAGACCCTCCGGGCAGGGCTTGGAAGCACAAAGGTGCAGGGCCTGCTCGGATCAGGGCCCTTTCATTCCTGTGAGGGGTCCAGCCTGCCTCCTAATGTATCTTTAAGACAAATGTATGTTTTACGGAATGCCTGCCTTCTGAGGAGCTGCAGCCCTTTTGAATTTGGTCACCAAGCTGAAGGCACACCCACAAAGCAGGTTTTGAAGCAGACTCAGTTCTACTTGGAAGAGAAAGAGGGTGTTGTCCACTCTATGATCTGAGGAGGAAGAATGTCTCAATCCCTAGCCTCTCTGTCCTCTCCTCAAGTTCTGAATCATGGAGTTTCCAGGTGGGAGTAAGATTTGGAAGTCCCCAGTGAAAATGCAATGTTATCATTTCATGAAGAGAGGCTCTTTCTGGTTCCAGCTATTTCATTGTGATCTTAGACAAGTCATTTCCCCTCCCTGAGCCTCAGTTTGTTTGTGGGTAAAACAAAAGGGTTGAGCTGGATGATTACTGAGGCCCTTCCGGCTGTGAGTTAGAACATCTGGGGAGTTTGTGACTTGCTCAGTTGTCACAATATGGCAGGTTAGTGGCAAAGCCAAGAGGCAAGTCCAGATTTTCTGACTTCCAGCTTAGAGGTCAGCAAAAATAGTCCTAGAAAAAAAATCTGTGGTGGTAAAAATCAAGCAATTCCTTCTCAGAATTTATGTCATGGTGAACTTTCATTGTAAAAAGACCTATGCATCAAACAAGGTGCAATTCAAAGAGACTTGGATTGAGGATCTGGTGAACTGCAATCTACCTTATTGTTCTACTGTTCGTCAGGCACCTACTATGTAATAGCCAGTTAAAATAATTCATTTAATCCTCATAAAACCTTTAAAAAAAGATTTTCATTAGCCTCTTTGGCAGATGTAGAAACCAAGGATCAGAGACATTAAATAATTTGCCTAAGGTCACACAACTAAAATTCTAACCCAAATGTGACTCCAAATGCCCAAGCTGTTCCTTTTGCCCTTCTCCTGAATTAGCTAAACTCTAAGGGTTCCTCTGTGCTATTTCAATGCCTCTGATTCTGAGACCTCCCTACTGCCTTTCCTGATGAAAGTGAATGGATTGTTGAATGCTGAAATTTATTTGCCCATTATTTGCCAATATGTCAGAAATAATTGATTCTCAAAGTGCAATCAAGCTGTCATTCATCAGGAGCCGGCAGCCTCCAACAATGGAAAGGAAATTAGCTTCTTTTTCAGGAACCCTGATGCTTTCCAGGAAAGTGAGCATCTCTCCTCCCCTTTGGCCAGCTCAACCCTTAGCCCAGGGTGGGGCCTATGGGAATTTGTTCACACAGAGAGCTGCTAGAATCCCGGTGGGTGAGTCCTTCCCTAGGACAGGGGCAGAGCTTGGGTCTTGAGTCTCCCCGGCCCTACAAACTGCAGGTGATCCCGCTCCCACCCTGAATGATGCACACAGACGGGCCCCCATTCTGTTTTAACTGGCTGGGCCCAGAGGTGGGGTCACTGGCCACCAGCCAGTACAGACAGTGAGGAACGGGAAGCAGGTGGTGTCATTGCCAAAAACAGGATTGTAGAGATGCTCAAATGGAAGAAGCAGGGAAGCTGGGGGAGAGACGGAGGCTGCAAAAACACAACCAAGGATGGAGGTTAGATGAGCCCTAGGTGTGCGTGAGCGGAGTAGGGTGTTCTCCCAACTGGGTCAGCCCTGATTCACTGTGTCACCTCCAATAAGTCACTTCCCTTTTCTAGGCCTTGTTTTCCTTTTTGTCAAGGGGGAGGCTGGCAGTCTAAGAGACCTCTTCCAGTTCTAATGTCCTGGGACTTTAGGCCAGTACTGGGAGAGAGGACAGGAGTGAGGCAGCTAAGAGATGTGAACAATGACCAGTTTCAGGAGCTCACTTCCGGGGCTCCTAGGCAGAGGGAGGCAGGGCAGCCTGATCCTGTGGCTGCCCCGGCTCTGTGAACACTTCGTGTCTGGGTGAGGGGATGCTCAGACGGGGTCAGGTTGGAAGTCACAGAATCCCCTCCCGGTATCCTGTGCTCTGCGAGCTGTGGTCACTCAGACCCCACACTGGCAGCTGCAGTGAGGAAAGGGCTCGGAGGGACAGCTAGGGCAGCAGGCCCCGAACGGCTCTGCCACGCTCAGGAACCTGCCAGGGAGGTAGAAAGTTCACTGATGTCCCTGGAGAGCAGTGAATCAGGGTCTGAGCTGTGACTCTGGGGGCAGTGGGTGGAGGAGACAGGGGCCACTTGGCCTGCTGATGTGAAAGTCAGGCTGGCGGCCTCTAAATACCAGCTGTGTCCCTCTAGCCACGAGCCCCAGCACTAGGCAAACGGAGATGCTGCCTCACACATGCCCATTGGTCTCTTCTCCACTTAGTGTCACTGGGTTTCAGGTCTCTTGACTCCCTGTCCAGTGCTCTCAGCACTGTCCCATCTTCCCTCAGGCCAGTCGGACCCCATTGCACCAGAGGAACGGCCACCCAGTGATGAGCTGAGGAGTGAGAGCCTAGAACCCCTCCATTATAATGAGACCCTGCGATGGGGGACAGGGAAAAACTGGACAAGGAAACAGTAAGGACAGGGAAGCCTTGTGTCCAGCATCCCTTTTTCAGTGGTTCTGAGTTGCACTCGACCCTGTAGAGTCACAGCCTTGCACAGTGTTACTGCTGAATGAAACCAGAGGGACCCTTCTATTAATACTTCAAACCCCACATTTTATAGATGAGGAAACTGAGGCCCAGCAGGGGGAAATGTCCAGTCTAATGTCTCCCAGCCCCTGAGTTGGGGCTCTTTCACCACATGCTCAGAAGAAAGGTCAAGGAAGGAGCTGTAGACCCTCTCTGTCCCGGGGTCCCCTCCCTGGCACTGGCTCGGGTGGAAAGGAGGCACCAGCCATGGGCGCTCTCCTGAGCTTCCTCTCACCGGCCTCCTCCCGCTCGCTGCAAGTGGCAGCCTGGATTTGTCACACGGGGCTACTGCACAGTGGGGACATGATACTCCACAGGAAACTAAGCAGGGAATATTTTTAAACTATCCAACATGCCTTAGGGAGAAAAAAAAATCAAAACACTCCCCTAGATGCTTCAAAAAGCATTTCAGAAAAGATTCCATGCCTAGAGGAAGCATCGTAAAACGGTGTTGGTCTTCTTTTTAAAGGGCCAATTCCCTCTTAACAAAAGTTCTGGGAAATGGACTGGTGACCCACTTCTAAGATGCCCCCGGAGCACGGCAGCTCCACTAGAGGTACTGGAAGCCCAAGGGGCTCCGCTCACATTTCGACAGCTCCCTTATAAATCAACAAAGTAATTTACCTTCTGTTTCACTAAACCTTCCTTCTTAATATATCCCAAATTCACTATCGCAGGAAATAGTGACAGGGGCAGGGAATAAACTCGCAGGTAGAGAGAAGGAACTTTGTTTTTATCCAGCCGGGAATTCAAGTTCCTCTCTTCTGGCTACTTTCTATCCACTTGTAGTTTTAGCTCTCAGAATTGAAGTCTACCTTACCTGTGTCTGTTCCTCCTCCCTGGAACTTCCGTTGGCTTCTCCCCGCTCTGGCTGCCTCTTCTCCAACTGCCCACTGTTCTTTGCTCTTGAGCCTGTCAGTTGTTCCTCTTCCACCCTCTTTTTAATCTGTGTCTGTCACCCTCCCTCCTCCCACTTCTTCCTACTCTTTCTTTCTCCACCCCTTTCCCCCTCTGGGTCCCTCCCTCCCCTGTCTCTCTTTTGCACTCTTAGAATCTTTGCTCTTTTTCAAAGTCTCTGCCCTCCACCTCCTTGCAGCCTCTGCTCACTGCACCCACCCCTGAAGGAGGCAGAGCCCTCTCCCCCCTGCTGCCCTCCGGATGTCTCCTCTGGCTGGGGCAGGCTGGTGCAACGTTTCCCTAAGTCTTTTCCTGCCCACTCCCCTGCCGAGCCTCCTGAACTCCTCTGGCCATGGCTTTCCTGGGGGATCAGCGGGAAAACTGGCACTGCCCAAGAGATCCCTCTTCCCATCCCTTTCCAGGCATCTGAAAAAGAGTGTGTTCATTTGCATGACAAGCCCTTTTGGGACCTCTGCTATGCCCACATCAGTGAGCTGAAATCGGCCAGCACAGGAAAACGTGGTCTCACAAATCACAACCACCCAGCACCCAGAATGGGCACCAGGAGTAACCTGAAAGCAAAGAAATGCTGACCTTTGGGCTCCAAAGGTCAGAGAGAGGGCATTCCCACTGCCCAGGCTCATACTCTCCCCTTCTCCTCTAAAGAGAAGAGAGCACCTTCCACGCAGCAGGCACTGGGCTGGAGGCTTCACTATTTAATATATAACTATTTTTATTTTTGTAATTTTTCAATTCCCAATTCTACAACGTAGACATTTTCTGCATTTCACATTTCAGGAAACTGAGGTTCACAGAAATCAAGGAACATGATTATGGTGGCCCAATTAGTAAGTGGCAGAATCGGGATTAGAAGTTTTAGCCAATGCCAAAATTCACCTCTTTGCTCTTTCCACAAAATCTCCCAGCTGGAACTGAACCGATGAAAGTATAAAGGTAAGGTTGTCTCTTGTTAGATCGTATGTCACAGGGGAGCAAATTCAGAAACTGTGGGGCATCTCTGTCCTTAAGCCCACCTCATTCTCCAACTTCTTCCCCCAACTCCTCAACTTAAGCACTTAGCCATGGACCGGTTGGAGTGGATAAATGTCCACAGCAGAGGCTACTGAGAGTGGACCGAAATCAGACAAACCAATGACTAGGAGGCTGAAGATTATGAGAGCTGGGAGAAAACCTCAGAAATCTGGAACAGCCAGGGAAACTGAGGTCCAGAGGGCAGCCCACTTGTCACACACAGCAGTAGGTGGCAGAGACAGAGCCACCACCCACCCTATCCCTTTGCTCCACATCCTTATCTGAAACATGCCTTCCCCATGTAGCACCAGTCACAAACATCCCAAGATTTCACAAAACTGTTTCTGTACTGGGCCATATTTTTCACAAGTGAATAAGCTTGGGATCAGCAAGAGGGGAAGGAACATGGGGCCAAATTTCCTGTGTTGAGGGAGGCAACAGCCCTGGTAGAAACAAATGCAGGATTCTCAATTCCTTGGCCAGAGTTTCCCCACTTTTTCCCATGCAGCTTCAGAGCAGATCCTGGGCGGGACTGACTGGGTTTGTATCCTGGCTCTGCCTCTCACTAGCTGTGTGCCTTTGGGCAAGTTCACTCACCTCTCTGCATCTCAGTTTTCTCAACTGTAAGTTGGGGATAATAATAATATCTACCTCATAGGGTTGTCATGAGGACTAATATTGATGAATATGTGTAAAACACTTAGAACAGTGTCTGGTACATTAAAGTGCTGTGTATGTGGCCGCAAAATGCAATACAATACAATACAATGCAATGCAGTACAATACAATGTAATACAAAACCGATCTCATCCCTGCCTGGGCTCACTATGACTGGATCGAAGTCCTGGGTTAGAATTCAGTTTGCATCGCTATCAGATTGGCACTGACTGATCAACACTATGGTGCTCACACGGTAGTAAGATTCTCCAGGGATTAGGGGGTTGGGGGGGGGTGTAAACTCACAACTAATGGATATGGTGAACATTCTAGAGGGGAAGAGCATGCCGCTAATCCTCACTTGGGTGAGGCAAAAACATAAAATGTAACCAAAATGTTTATACCCTCATAATATTCTGAAATTAAAAAAAAATAATAAAAAAAAATAGAAACACACAAAGAATTCAGTATTTGCAACCAATAGGGGGCCCTGACGATACTCAGTTTCTTCTTCAAATAGAAGTTGTCCCCACACTATGACTTAGTCCCTACATCCCAGCCACTCTACAATATCTGGAAGCACCGTGTTATCTCCAGCCAGGGATGGCCAGTTAAAGACCCCATAAAGTCTCAGTCGGGGGACCGTCTGAAAGTAGGGAAGGCTTTGTGGAATATTAACTCCTAGGTCACAAGGCTGCCGAAGGAGAGACTAGCTCAAGCAGGGGTGATGACTGGAGAATGCCATTTTCCTCTGAATGCACAGAAGGAAAGAATCATGTAGATACGGGCACAACCACAGTCCTGGAGGGAGTGCAGGGTATGGAAGGTAAATGCTCTCTTCCTACTTGCTGGGTAGAGTTAAAAAATAGTGAAGCAAATGGACAGGTTGCTTGAGGCAACCCAGGCAGTCTGCCTCAGGGCTGGGAGAAGGCCGAGGCCTCTGACTGGGACCATCAACAAAGTCAGCAGCTGTCCAGCCTGGGCTGCTCGCTCAGCAGGCGTCCAGGACGGAGCCCAAAGCAAAGCTGCTTGGGCAAGGCCTTCAGAAGTGTGGTTACTCCTCACTCGGCTCAAGAGAGGACTCTGACAAAAGTAATGAAAATGTCATTCAGGCTGTAGGTCTGGGGTGATTCCCTAAAGGGGCTGAATGTGGCCATCGCCACATGGCTAAGGACACCATAGGCAGAGGCCCCAGACAAGGGAGCAGGGCCGGGGCCGGGGAGGGGGCTGAGGTGCTGCCGTGTCCTGCCCTGCATCCCTGCATCCTCACAGGCCACACGAGAAAGGGCCTTAGGAAGAGGTGTCGAGGCCTGTGTTCCATGCCTTATAAAAATATGGAGGAGGCAGGGTGCGGTGGCTCACGCCTGTAATCCTAGCTCTCTGTGAGGCCGAGGCAGTAGGATTGCTCAAGGTCAGGAGTTCAAAACCAGCCTGAGCAAGAACGAGACCCCATCTCTACTGAAAATAGAAAGAAATTAATTGGCCAACTAAAAATATATAGAAAAGAAATTAGCCGGGCATGGTGGCGCATGCCTGTAGTCCCGGCTGCTCAGGAGGCTGAGGCAGAAGGATTGCTTGAGCCCAGGAGTTTGAGGTTGCTGTGAGCTGGGCTGACACCATGGCACTCTAGCCCAAGCAGCAGAGTGAGACTCTGTCTCAGAAAAAAAAAAAAAAAATATGGAGGACTCAGAGAGGATTTAGGGAAGAAGCCAAAATCTGGTCAAAGAACTGGTAAATAATACCTGTAAGTAAAGGCCGTAGAAGCAGGACTGCAAAATAAACTTTATTCAGCACTTACTCTGTGTCAGGCATTGGACTAGGCACATTTCTCATTCTTTTACTTTGAGATAAAAAGATAGAAAAATGACCCTATAACAACCTTCTGCACTACAGCCAGGGTCTCAGCAGGATTCACTGGCTACTCCTGTGGGCCCAGCCTGTGCTGCATAAGAAACACAGGCCGTCCCTGGCCACCAGGAGCTGACACTGCAGAAAAGAGCCATTTAGATAAAACAATTGGTATGAGCGGCAATAATTCTGTGTTTGTATCAATAATGATGCTGTAATGAAGTGCTAAATTATATCAGGAAAAAAATCATTTGGAAAACTGGTTCATATAGAGTAATCTCTTTGTTGAGCTGTAATTAAGGAGAAGGGGAAGGAATATTTATTGAAGGCCTTCTGTGTACCAGGTATTTCCACCTCACAATCCTGCAAAATAGATGGTATGTGATTATCTCCATTTTACAGAAAAGAAAATTCAGATTCAGAGAAGTTTAGGAACTCGCTCAAGATTACTCAGTAAGTGGAGGGAAGGAATGCTGATGTCAAATGTCAGGTGCTTTCTCTCCACAGCTGAGACCCGTTGGCCTGGTCAGAGAGGAGGGCACAGGGCCCTTCAGGTAGGAGCAAACACACCTGCAGATGACACGATAAGAATGGACCCCAACCCTAGCAGGAGAGATTGTATTTGGCCGTGACTACGAAGGTGGTTCAGCATCATCTGAGATTTCCAGGAAGAGGCACCATCACCTTCTCTATGGTCTTTTAAAACTGGCATCTTGAAAATTGCTTTTTTTCCCTTCTCCCTAGAGGCAAGGGGGCAAATGAGGAGATCATTCAATGTCTCTTCTTCCCAGTGAATCTCTGGCTCTATGAGCTTCCTTCCCAAGACACTGGTCCAGATGTTTTAAGAGCTGCCTCCCTTACAGCTTACATGATAACACGTGCAAATAATTTCTGTCAGCATCTAATTGCAAGAACAACGAGTCCCCTGTGCCTCATTGGAGGACATAAATGGGTAATTGGAGCTATGGTTAGTGGGTTGAGGTCATACTTTTCTGCTAGTTGAGATGCAGACACCACTGGCATACGCAGTCTCCTTTAAGACTCTTGCTTTCCAGATACTGGCTAAAAAGGGCAAGAACACTCTGTTCCAAGAAGCAGAAAGCAAAAGAAACACAGACTTCCTTGCTCCTGGTGCTTTTGCCTATGAGCTTACTCTCTCACATCTCAAGTTTTAATCCCAAAGACAAGGTGAGGGTCACATCCATACTTCTTGGGTGTAAGGCAAATGGGATCTTCTGGGAGCCCAGGCTTAACAACTCTTTTGGGGTGTGCTTGGGCCAATGTCCCCCACTGACATGAGAAGAGGAGGGGGAGGGGAAGGGGGAGAAGGAGGGGAGGAGGAAGACGAAGCCAGTACCAGCCAAGACTGATTCTCTCCCACTGAAGTCAGGACGTGGGGGCGGGCAACAGCTGGGTGCAGCTTCACTTTAGCTGTGAGAGTCCCAGGACTGGGGATTTCATCCTACAACAAAAATTGGGAACTTTGGGAGATCTTGAGATGGCATTTGCCCTCCAGATCCAGAGGTAAATCTTTAAGAGCAAGAAGACTGAGAATTT